TGCATATAAAGTAAGAAGTTTAATGTATTAGAATGAAAATTTTCGAGTCGTAAACATCTTGCTTATATTTAGGAAACAACAGTTTTGAACGAGCCGTTTGATATAAGAATTCAAAAAGCTACATGGAAGGTGTGACGCTCAAATTTCATTTCATCTTTATAATTCGATTTCCATTTTCTTTTAGAGATAACTGAAAATTCTATGCACAAGTATGTTCGTCCATTGCGAGAATAATGAAGATTACTCAAGACAAAAAAGGCAGTGAATAAACTTTATTAAAATTGTTGCTTATTTTTAAATAATGTTCGGCAGCTAACTTGGCATTCATCGTTGATATCATTCTATCTGTCGATAATATCGAAATTAATGATTTTATAATATTAATAATAATAATATTAATTAACATGTTCTAAAATCCATCGACGACCTCGAAAAATCTAAGATATGAGGAAAGTCCTGTAGATCCAATGTATTGCTTGCGGACAGGTTGTGTCCTTGGTAAAATGGGAAGGGAAAAGAAAGTTAAATTCAGAAACATCATCTGATGTCTACGGAAAAGTTAGTCATCACAATTAAACCATTAATAAACTTCAAAAGCACTTTTGTTGTGTGTCAAGTTTTTAAATGACTAAAGATTTTCTGAATGTTATAGAGAGCTTCTGTAAAACTTCGGAGAAATGTTTATACAGTAACTATCTTTGGCTGTCAGAAATAAAAAAAATTCTGAACTTTAGTCGACAACAATTTAACGGATGATCGGAAGTCTGCTACTTTGTAAATTATGACTAGAGAAGGGGTCAGTGCACATCGGTATTTTGCATCGGAGTTGAGCCGAAAGATAGACAATGAATTTATTTCAAGTAGAGGCTGTGCCTCTTGCGAGACACTGTAGCACATACCATGAAAGTTCAATCCACTTCTTTCGATTTATTTATTAAATCAATCACTATTATCTATTTTTGACAGGTATGCGTCCATTATGCAACTTCAAGTAGCTTTAGCTAAATGTTGTTCACTTACGTACAGGAGATATGATCAAGTAAATTTTTTAATTGTCTAGGACGTGATTTTCTGGAAATCCAGAATTCAACCCGTGAAATTCGAGTCTGAGAATATAAGCTAGTTTTCAGTGCTACCAAAATACTATGTTGAAAATTTTCGAAATTAATTTTTCAATCTCTTTAACAAATTTCTCCGACAGAACACTCGAAAAAATACCTTCTCTCTAAAATTTCGATAACAAGCTTTGCTTACTTCAAATTGAACTGCTTAGAAAGCACGCTACTCAATTTTCGTCAAAGAAGTGAATCATCATTCGGCTGCATCAAAATCTATACTGTAATATTGGATATTAGCAAGAACGGAAAAAAATGGTTTCGTGTTTAAAATTAGTAAAACTGCAATGTATCTTAAGTTACACTCATCCGTAACCTGTCTTACGTATCACTGCCAATAACATTATCAAGATTAATAAAACTGTTAACATCGTTGTTACAGGTTGAACTACTTATTCATAATAATGTCGACCAAAACAGTGTTTATGATTGTAAGCTCGAAGTGATCGAGACGTAGTAACTATAGCAGCGAAAGAAGTGCGTATTTCACTGTAATCACCAAAAAGCTTCATACAATTCGGTTCGATTTTTCCCTTAATCTTTTTTGGGTTTAGAAATATGAACATTTTCCCATAAACTATACTTCCCGCTATGGAGGGATAGGATTTACATTCAGAACCGAAGGGATTTTCAAAAAAGAAGCAGCAAATATGCTAACATTCTTATTGTGAGGTTCATTTTACCTGTCAAAACTCTATTTGAATTTATTAAAAGAATAATCCCGTAAAGGATTTTCTATTTATTATGAGATCATATTTCAACGCTCACAGTCGCAAAACACGAAAATGATGGCAATATAATGCTCACTGCTCATTTGTGCTAGTTCGAAAAGAATCAAAAAGATAAATTTCTCACTTTTTAGAAAAAAAAAAGCTTGATGGATAATGCAAAAACTGAAAAAAAGAACAATTTCAGATTCAAATGCTATGGTCAGTGTCTTCTAAACAACTTCAAGAAATGAAAACAATTTTAAGATTTACCGCTTCTGAAGCACAAAATATCAGTATCTACATGATTATCGAATTTCCCATTGGGAGGGAGAAAAGGTTACAAAAAGAGACTAAATAGAAAAGCTTTATCTTAAATGTTGAATTTTCATGTGGACTTTAGTCCAAAAATTGTGCACATGATTTAATAAAAAGGGTGCTTTAAAGAACTTCCTAAATGAAAAGTTTTTGTTTAAATGATGAAGGTGAAAGAAACTTCAAAATACATATTAATAAAAGCAAAAGTATTTTTCAGGAAATTCGATAATTTGATCTACCATCCTTACATTATTATTCCCTAAGAAATGGATGAAGAAAATCACCAGAAATTAATGTATCATAACAATGTTCCTCTCTTATTCTCCTCTCGTCTTTTCTTCGCCTCAATTAACTCCTCCGAAATTTGATTTTTCAACATTCCTTTCCTTTTCATTTGGTATTCAATCATACGGGCATTCAGTGTATATGATTCTGCTATTTCTCGCTAGAATAAATTGAGGCTTAATTTGATTATTATGTTGACACATAAAATTTGTTAATTACTGTTATTAAATCAAGAAAAAATCTGCAAAAAAAAATGAGTCATGTTAATTCTGCATGGTTTTCAAACCGATAGTGATTAACTTTCGGATTTTTGTGGCACTTAAGAGAACACACAACGTTGTGAACCTTAAAATCCAGACCGTTTACACTTTGACCAAAGATGATGATATCATACTCCGATATAGCAAAGTAAGGTGTAATGCACAACGCACTGTATGGATAAAGTTCTTAAGAAATGTCTATGATCGTCTAGATTTTTCTTACTGCTTTGAAAACATACAAAAAAAAATCCAGTTTAAAACTCTTCCATGTCCTTAACTCATTTAACAGTGTCTCGCTTACCGCTTCCAGTTCATCCTCCGCTTCTTCGACCGTAGAAACAGTGACTGAACCAACCTTCCCTTGATTTTTTACATGTTTCGTCATAATCACCTGAAGTAGGACATATAGAAATCTACTAAAACAAAAAATACAATAAAGTGAGCCGACTGATTACAGCAAGAGGAAATATAGAGATGCTTAAGACAAAATGTCAACTAACCTTTTTGACAGGCTGCTCTTCGTTTGCAAGTTTAAGGCCACCAATCTGCTGCGCAGAACGCACAGCATTATCAAAGATAAAAAGATAATTTTTAAAGTTGAATGGATGATAGTAGAAAAGTGGAATCCCACATTTGTGACAGTTTTTTCTATATTGCTGTTCCAGTCCTTCTCTTCTAAAAAACATATCCATTTAGATATCAAGGTTATGCGGAACGAGAAAAGATATCACTATCCAAGACAGTTAAATGTGAATCCAAACTACAGGCATATCAGACTATCGTTTTTCTCTACAACTCTAAAATTTCTCAGCAGACCACAGAATTTAAGAACGTAAGTGCGGCAAATTTCAAAATATGCATATTTTGACACACAAAGTTCACCTCCGTACATAAACAGTGTCACCATTAACACCAAATGTTTTGGCTTCCGTACGTGCAGGATCGATGACGCGTGATCGATCGCGCCGCCGTAAGGGCATCCTTGTTAACAGTGTATCTGTTATCATCGCTATCTGTAACATGAGTGTTAAGTAATTCACCAAACTTGCATGTCAGCACTTTAATCAAACAAGTAATTAATTTTAGATGCCGTTAAATAATTGGTCCTGAATGTAGCGTACGTACTAACTACCTCTTCAAGGGCTAAATGCATTTCTCACACTAGAAATGATTCCCTTCTAATCTTTCTTCTTATAAATGAGAAAATGAATCATGTACCTGTCCACAGTGGCAATAATAAGTATGCAATGGTTTAACAAAGTGTTCTTCTCGGTCTTGCTCATCGATGATTTTACCTTCTCCTCGAAAACGATCATCCTCTACGTGTTCCACTTCATGCGGATCACTCTCGATTACCGATGTCATCTCCACACGTCCCTGACGTACGTCAACAAACTATCCCAATAAAGTGGAACTGAAGTACGAATTATGAATAAACACCACATTTTAGGAAACGCCGCTAGTTTGGAAATCGACTAATACTCCCTCTATAGACGTGTGATCTCTCTCATGCAAGCCTCTCTATCGTCATTTCTGTCCATCTCTACCATCCTTCGAATCAGTAGTCATTAACATCTCCCATCGCAATCTACCCTATTATCCTTAACAAGTTCATAGTCGTCTCTGCCCTTCTCATTCAGCCCCACCCGTCTCACTACCTGCTTATTCTGGTCAGATCTGTAGTATGGCAGGTGAGAAATGCGGTGAGGGTGACATTTTGCGGTGTTGTAGGTCCTTGGATGGTGTTGTATTCATGTGATGGGACAGGTATTCTAGACTTTACTGTCATTCCTATGATTTTTTATTTGTTGCTGTATAATTCTTATCTCCTGAATGTAACGGATTATCAGATATTATTAGCAGATGTATTCTCGAGTATTGTTCCGCTGAATTGTAATGATTCTATATGCAGTTTATCTTTCTATATATCTGAATAAGTGTTGGCCATGAAGCTTCTCTAACTGTAACAGTTAATTAGAAACTAGAAAGAGCGGAATGAAGTGTGTTGTGATTGAAATAAATGGATGAAATAGTATGTAAAAACAAATTGTTTAGCATTTATCGGTTTTTTTGGTATTGTTTTGGAATGTCTTTTCTTGACTGATCTGTTTAAAACAGCTTCAAAAGCTCAGTTTTTCATATCGTTTAAAAATATACATTTACAGATATACCTATAAGCTAATTCATATGACTTAGGAATTGGAAGTTAATCTCGATATTCATTCTTCAGTTATTATATCCTTCCAGCTTTTTTAATTAAGGTTCTGTTTGGGTAAAATATTTACTGGGTGAGCAGGGTGATATTTCAGTTAAAGATGTATGGTGTCGTTGTTACTCCACCACTCAACGAAACTGAAATAATGCATGTCGTTTATGTGGGAGAAAAGATTCCTCTTCTATTCATTAAACGGATTCCAATATCAAACAGAGCAAAACTGACTAAAAAAGAATATAAAGATCTCGAAAAAGTGATTGGTTTGAATTTTACATATTTGCTTTGCATATAAAATGCTTTGGATTTGGCATATAAACTTTTGATACAGGAACGGTTTTCGGACTTTATGAAAAAAATCACTGATGGCATCTGATATTTTTGAGCTCATTATTTCCTGCAAGCTAGTGGAAACTAACTTCTAACAACTTTATTCTTATTATGCATAGCATTGAAATGAGTGAAACTTGCGCAAATTTAGTTGATACAAATAAGCTGTTACAATAAATTGGTCAGTAATTTGAAGAATATTTTAGGCTGAAAGAAGTAGATCTCTTATGTTCGGTGACTGGATTGAATTTGAAGAAAGTGATGTTATAGAAGGTTGCATTGAGAAATATGTAAAGATATTTCCATTGAGTTCATGCCGTAGCAGTGGTGATCATCTGCAGGCAAGACGACTTTCTAACAAAATGCGAGAATTCAGTATTTGCAAACTCACTTCAGAAATAACTTGACACTTTACGAGAATAAACTTACAGTTTTTTTTATCACATTGTTCCGCATAGAATAATGTGAAATAAAAAAGTCTTCCAGGATATTTTGGGGTCGGGTTAAAATTAAATTAAAAGCATCATTTACTACACTGTAGTGAGTGCTTAAAAAGTGATAGTTTTTTGGGCTTGTTAAGTTGAAGGAATTTGGCTGATTTTGCTTTTAGTAACTTTATCATTACAGATTGAATCAACTTGTGTTTTTTCACCATCAGCTCGTGGATGGGAAAATGAATGTTACTGTGAACTGTTCGGTAAAGTTCGAGTTGATCCAGAATTGAGAAATTGCTTTCTTGCTGATGTTGCATACCGGTAATCCATAACAGGAGATTCATTTAAAAGCTCGTTTTTATGAAGTTAGTATTTGACTTCATGAGTATTTCCTGTGTTCCTTTATACAACTGAAGCTTAGGACATGAAACAATAAAAATTGCTCTGCAGACAGGATTTTTCTTGATCTCAATTTTTTCAGTTGCTGGATTTCCGTAGAAGTCACTCGAATATCGTCTTTGAATGTTGAGCTGGCTGAATATATTGATGTGTCAGAAGAGCTGAATTTGGTGAATGAAGCGGTGAGTTCTCTTTCTTATTTAAAAATCCGTAGTGCAACTTTATCTTTAATAACCAATGATGCAACTTTGAAATGTTGGCAAAAAAAAGTTTTTATTATTTTCAAAAATTCAAAATCAACCAATTTTCCATCCAGTTTCCCTTAACACTTAGAGTTAAAGTCTCTTTTAAATTTTAATTCTTTGAAGTCTAAAATGACTTAAGGATTTGGACTATAAACTCAATGTGATAAATAGATAGTATGAAAATTGAAGAATGGAAATTCTTAGTTTTTTATTATTTAATGAAATTCTGTTTGCGATTGCCATGTGCTTCTGTAGAATGAATTCGAACTAAAAATTTATCAAGCAGTTAAGGAAAAGTACGAAATTTACTGAAAAAAAAAAAAAAAACTGAGAATTATCAGATTACAAATTTTAGCCTTGGAATCACAAGGATCCCCGCTTTGTTACCATAGTCAGTAGCGATACCGATGAGGGCGATTCGGATTCGAAGCAAATATCGTTTCCCTATGAGGTATCATTATTTTATCTAAGACATTTTCTTGAAAAGGCATTCGATGCAATCAGATGAATCAAAAATTTTGATTTTGATGCAATATTTTACATAAAGCCTGAACTCTGAATTAAAACAGTATGGTATGTGCCGTTTTTTATGATTTTCTTGCAGTGTTTTTTAATCCAGAAATTGAAGAAAATGATAGTCTGGTAAATATCGAAGCAAATTTTATTTGCATGGAAATAAAAAACAATCTAAATGAGAGTGTTCTATTGAGGTTTTGAATTGTATCCTTTTCTAGTTTAGTTGAAATGAAGTGAATATCATAAATATTAAAAAATCAGGGGAGATAATAAATAATACAGATCACTGCAAGAATGGTGTAGATTTTTGAGGTCCACTATCATACCAGACTCTGTACCAGCGGCAAGATGTAATAGGGAAATATATAGGTACAGTAAGTAGTAAGAATTCGTGTATTATATGATTTTAGCTTCAGTATATTTGTGTCAAATTGCAGATATACGGTGTGCCGGGTGTATTGGTTAGTGAACGAAATGTTTATAGTAGCCAATATCCAGATGTCAAAATCGTATTGGCTTACGTTAGGCGTGGACGGCATACCCCAGTCGGCAGCCGTATACAATTTAACGCGTATTACAGTATTCCTTTACAGTCATATGTGATTCGGTCATATCGTGCTTTGGTGAAACAGTCATTCGTAGCAAAGCCATTCCAATTTGGATCACAATTTCTGGTTTTTTTCCTTGTTTTTTAAATTTCTCATAATAAAAACGAGAAGAAAAACGTAGCTCAATACTGAGAAAAGGCCATGATCAACACAAACGCCATGTAGGCCATCATTTGACACTTTTTCTAAGCTTGTATTCCGTACAGTCGATAATTGTGAATTCTATTAGATTTCTAAACTTATTCTAGACGAATGGCTTGAACTTGACAAATTCGAAGCAAGATATGCTTGGAGACTTGGAATCTAGCTCTTGAACTCTTTCATTCTGATGTAAAGTTGCAAGTTTAATTTATAGTTGGAAATTTACGCCAAATGGGAACCGAATTTGCCGATGGGACATTTGTGGAGCGAAAATAAGGATTTCGGATTGATCTATGATACAGATGGTTTATTGCTACCTATATTCTTAGGTAAAAATCCGTATGCACCCGTATGCGTACATGTGGCAGACATAGGCCCTAGTCGTTTAAGTCGTTTCGCAATAAAAGATCTTTCCGATATGACAACAACGGAGGCGAATGTGGCCATGAATACTTCCTATGTAGGATTTTATCTTATTCTCTGTTTGTAAAATAAGAAGAAGGTGTGTTGGACTTTGTCGTATTTTTCGGTTAAAAATATTCGCTATTTTTAAAGTAAGAAAAAACAATTTATTTGTTAAAGATCCGATTTTTCAATTATTCTTAACACATAATATGTCCTTATTGAATAAACCGCAATAATATGTCCTTATTATAGCGAAATATGCTTGTGAGCAATGACTACTCGTTAGAACTAATGTTGCATCTATAAATTGCAATAAGTTAAAATGACGTGATTCTAGGCAGAATTGTCGGATGATGGTTTTGTTTTGGGTGACGGCTCTCTTCTAGCATCCCGTTACCTCTATCTAAAAATTCGTTTCGACAGCAGTTCACAAAAAGGATGGGACAAGCTCGTTCCTGGAACATGGGTCAAGTTTACAGCATCGAGCCCCGCTGGCATTCCAGACTTCAGAATCAAAACATGGAGTTTGACAACTAATCCACTTTTGGTTCAGATTCATGCATTTCCAACCTGCAGTGGTCATGTAGTAAGTGCACACGTCATCTTTTTTCAATGATTTGAGAAGCGAGTAAATTCAACAAAATCCTTGTTGCTGGACTCTCCACTTAACCTCATTTGAGTTTACGTTTTAAAAAATCATTCCGTTTCAGATTTGTATTTTTTTTTTTACAGTTTGGATTTGAACTGATGTCTAATTCTGTCTAAAAGTTTATTTAGTAACCTTTTTGCTTACATTTGCTCATCTTATTGGTTTTTCAATATTTAAAAAATTTTTCCAATTTCAGTTCGAAGCTTCTGGCTTTTTCGACGAAGAATTAAGCGCATTAAAATCAACTGTATTCGGTTTCATTGAAATACCGCGCGAAAAGCGATCATTAATGATTCCAAGAGATAAGGGTGTAACGATTGTTTGGGTACGAGAAGATAAAAGGAATAAAAGAGCACGATTTGTACTTCATTCGGTTGAAGCTCCGCAGACTGTTGTAAGTGCAATGCAGTGTTGGATTTGCAAACAATTTTATAGATTTTCTTTCATTTCGAATAATTTCTTTGAGAAATTGATCTTGCCAGTGAACGTTTTTCGCGTTCACTGCATACTTGCAACTATTCTACAAGTTTTAGTTATTAGTTATTAAGCCTCATTTTATGCAGAAATATGAAATGATTTTTGGTGAAGTTTTAGTGAAGACGGAATCAGAACTGTAATTAACAGTGTTGTTTTTGAGTTCAATGTTTCTTTAATAAATACACTTTTAAGGATGATGGAAACGATACGGAAAAAAAATCATTAGGGTCTTTGATGAATGAAGCTGAGCAATGCTATGTAATAGAAAAGGTAAATTTAAGCAGTTTTCATGCTGAGAAAAGCAAGAGTAATAATAAAAATTTTTGTGAGATACTTTCGGTTCTCTTTTTTGTATGGCACACTGAATGTGGACAAAGGAAAAACCTGAGATCTCCGTTTGGTTTGTGGTAGTAAGCTCAGTGGATAAATGTTGATTGCTTTAAAAATCCAGTAAAAAACCGTTAGCATCTTATATTCTTTGGTACCATTAACATAATGCGAGGTAATACTATTTTCAGTTTATTCTACCGTGTAAAAGAATTGATTGCAAAGGCAAGCAGTTACTGAAACGTTGTTTTAACAACCGTGCTGTTGTAAATAGCCTGATTCAAGCATCAACTGATGAATTGTTGACTGGTATTGTGAAGTTGCTGACAGCTGAAAAGTTGGAAAGTTAAGGAATTAATTGTCGCTCGAGTGTTGTTTGACCCCAGTTGATATAGATCTGTTCTCTATCTGATACATGTTTATTAACTTTACAAATATTTTTCTGACGTTTATCAAGATGCGATGCTGTTTATTTCTCAATTGATTCCTAGAGCTCGAAAATTTTAGTTCTAATGTTGTAGTATTTGTTATGCACTACAGTAGAGCTTTCCATATGTGTTATGCCAAAGCCATTCGCAGTTCCCAAAATATATCGCTGTTACTACCCCTATCATCAGCTGACAATATTTCACCTGATCTCGTAAAAATCACACGTTCAATATATTTTTAAAGAACTTCTGTGATTAAGTTTGATATAAGATAAAAGAAACGATTTGAACTCATATCAGTTAAAGATATGATTTGAAATAAGAAGAGAACCCGAATGTTCCATTGGTCTTCCATGCTTATTAACGTTGTAAATGAATGTTTATAGATAATAAAAGGTGTATTCGAATATGTCTTGGACTTAGTCTTTTGCTTATGAAATGATTTACTTCCTTGGGGAAAGAAAACTAATAAGTTTAGATGTGAATAATAAGCTACTGCTTCCCATTTATCTGCTCTACGATAAATAGGACATTCCATTGGGTCCTTTTTAGGTAACAATTTGTCCGGAAGTAAAAATTGCGATGGTTAACAGTGGTAAGCAAAATTGGAGTCAGAAACGAAGTGACTATCAGAGCACTTACCCCATGTAAAAGGTGTTCTGCATTTATTGCGTTCTTCAACCAAGAAGTTTATCTCACTAGTATGTTCCATTATCCTTTCCTGGTCAGCAACATTTCACTTCATTTTTTATCTCTTTTACTTCCACTTTTAGCATCACAGCAGATGACCAATACACATTTCTGAGAGTCTTCTTGAAACTATTCTCACTCTCTATGAACAAGGTAATATCATTTCTGCAGTTAATTCTACTATTTAACCTTCATTCTACTATCAATAGCAGATGGGTCGAAATTTACACTGCGTTTCACTGAATCTGAATTTTGGATTTCCGGTCAAATACGGCTAAATGGCGCGAAATTCTCCACGTATTTGAATTGGGAATGTCATGTGTGGTGGTGTGTATCTATGCATGCGTATGTGTGATGCAGACATGTAGAAGGAGTTATTTGTCAAGCATTTATGAAATGTACATGGCTTCTTAGTTTTTTTCAGATTTACTGACAAGCTTAGATACGTAGAATAACATTAATTGGCACACTTTTGTTTTTAAATTTTTTCACTTTATTTTTTTAAACCCAAATATGTCTTTTCATTTATCGCTTAATGCTGCATAAATCTACAAAGAATTTTTTTAAGAATGCCGTAAAAAAAGTATTCATGCTGCTTATTGCTTCAGAATTCGTGAACATAGTTTTAATTAACACAAAAAAATTAAAAAGGCGGTGGATGGAATTAGCAGGTTAAACAAACAAAGCAGTCTTTGGTGTCATCAAATTATATATATATATATGCGAATAATAGCGTTTTTATCGTCAAAATAAAACCAAGAACTTTTATAATCTTCGAGGAGAAATTTAAATTAATAAAAAGTGATGTGTCTTGTCGATCTTAAACTATGCATAAGTAATAACTTATTTGAAACGATTTTTCAGCATTATTTTCTTGTATTACAGACTTACTTTTATACAGATGTATACAGTCGTTCTGTTTTGGAAAATTTTTGAACATTTTTCCACTTTTTAGAATTTTAGTTTTTAGGAGTAGGTGCTACTAACAATGCCACTAGAAGAAGTTAATGTTAACTGCAGTGATTTACTAAGCGTGAAGGAGAATTTAACAATCCAGAAGGTTTGATTTTCATAATATTGAATTGTAAAGTTTTGTGGGTTTATAATTTTGGAAGTTTTCTTGTGAACCGTACGGATGTGTGATGTTTTTATTGTTTTCTGTAATTTTAGACAGAACCACCATGTGGTACTTATGAAACGGCTACTACTACTGTGAGATACGAATCAAATGGCGAGATTTTGTTGGCTGAAAATCCAAATCGTTTTGTTATATTCCCTATCAAGTTTCATGACATTTGGGATTTTTATAAGAAAGCCTTAGCATCATTTTGGACCGTTGATGAGGTCAGTTGGCATAATGAATGGTCTCTATTGCAAGAGATTTTTTTTTTTTTTTTTTTTTTTCGAAGAGCATATGCGTTTCATGTTTCAGGTTGATCTTAGTAAAGATTATCGCGATTGGGAGAATTTGAATGATGGAGAGCGTCATTTCATCTCAAGAGTTCTGGCATTTTTTGCCGCCTCAGATGGTATTGTTAACGAAAACCTGGTAAATTTTTAATTTAATTGTTTAAACTACTTGAAAAGAACTGAAAGCTAGCTATCCGTGGAATACGAGGCTTTGATTTTTTCACCTAATCGAAATCTTTTCATTTTATATTTTTTTCAAAACAATCTTTTCCATTCCTTGTGTTCGATTTATTTTAGGTAAATCGTTTCTCACAGGAAGTTCAAGTACCAGAAGCACGGTTTTTCTACGGTTTTCAAATTATGATCGAAAATATTCATTCTGAAATGTACTCCAAAATGATTGATACGTATATTCGTGATCAAAAACAAAAGTGTGTCATTTGCCAGTCACCTTGATTTCTGTTTGCGTGGTAATTTTACCTCTACACAGATTTTTAGAAAATTCCGGAAATTTTGTGTTACGTTGTGTTTTCTGGAAATAAATCTATCAAATTACAAGAAATTTACATCGATGTTTAATGCTTGTATCGATGCGAAACAGGTTCTCAACGAAGCCTTTTATACCACTGAAGTACGAAAAACAATTCTGTATTAGGGATTAGGGAGTTTGTAGTATTTTTGAGTATACGATGAAAATATTAATCTATTCATCTTTGTCAAGCTAATAATGTGACTATGAACTAAAATTGATTATCCATTCTTCTCTTAAGGTCTCTCTTGTTCAATGCAATTTATGAATTCGAATTCGTGAAAAAGAAAGCTGATTGGGCATTGTGTTGGATTGCTGATATAAATGCTTCCTACGCGGAGCGACTGATAGCATTTGCTGCTGTTGAGGGTATTTCAGTATTCTAATTTTTTTTAAAACAATTTTTCATTATATTGGTTTTTCCTGTTTGATATCATAGATCTGTTTAGGAATATTTTTCTCTGGAAGTTTCGCCGCAATATTTTGGTTGAAAAAGCGCGGCTTAATGCCTGGTTTGACGCATAGCAATGAGCTGATCTCAAGAGACGAAGTAGGTCATGTGTAATTATGTGACCGATTGGAAGATGATTATAAAGCCAAAGCATAGTTTTGTGGTACGGCAAGTTCAAGATCGAATGTGACAGACTCAGTGTCAACTATTTCAAAGACAAAAATGTTTTTTCAAAAAAAAAAAAATGGAACAATTAATCTCGAGCAAGATTTATCTTCATTTTCAGGGCTTGCATCGCGATTTCGCCTGTCTGTTATACACCTATATCAAAAATAAGCCATCGGAAGAAAGGATTTATCAGATTATTCGCGAAGCAGTTGATATTGAAAAAGTCAGTTGATTTATTCGTCTACATATCTTTGGACTTCTAAGTGGTAATGACCGAATTTTTCAGTTCTCGTAAAATTTGGCTTATGTTTCTTTCCGAAGTTTAGGAGTACTTAACGGAAGCATTACCGGTTGACCTGATCGGTATAAACTGCAAGTTGATGTGTCAATATATTGAATATGTAGCTGATCATTTACTAACAGAACTCCATTGTGCAAAGGTAATTTTTTGTGATACATAATGATAGAAGCGATGAAGCTAGACGACTAAAAATCTTTTAATAGGTAACTATTGAAGAAGATATTTCGTCAGATTGTTTCAAATTATAAAACTAACCTCCCGTAGTTTTATTTTCTATGACCACGATATTTCAGATCTATCATTCGGATAACCCATTTGATTTCATGGAGCGTATATCGATCGAAGCGAAAACTAATTTTTTCGAAAAACGTGTCAGCGAGTACCAGAAAGCTGGTGTTTTAAGTAGCGAAGAGGGAAAAAGTTTCAACTTAGATTCAGATTTCTGAGCAATCTGTGATTTATACAATGGTTATACCTCACCGTTAACTATTGTAAACGAGCCTTTCAAAGTAATCAATTTTAACATACTGCTTTCTTGGCCTAATTCTTATTATATTTTTTAGCCCATAGAAGAAATGCGAGACATTCCTTTTTTCACTTATATCGTTTCCATTGAAGTCGAGTTATTGAATATTCATCATCCTTTTCCGTGACTTTAGAGCAGTAATTTTTTCTAATGACAGCATGTATCATACATTACTGCTAATCAATTAAAAGAGGGAGAAGAAATAAGGGTTATAGAAAATAAAGAATTTATCCTCTCGTCCTGCTGTTTCCCATATCACTGTCGCAAATGTTAGAGCATTCCTGATTACTGGAATTTTCGTTCTCTCTTTACATATCTGGAATTTAATATATTCTAGAGTGTCGCATCACTAATTTGTTGGAAATTTGATACTTTTTCATATGTTGCAAAATCTGGTTATTTCGTTATTTCCAATTCAAAGTTATTTATTATGATGAAAATATGGTTTTTCAGCTTAATAGGATATTTCTCTGTCGTTTGATTCTTTCTAGGAAGTTTTTTTTTGTCAGTGAGAAATTATACTATTATTCGGCGTTGGAACAACAAGATGGGGTAAAATTGATGACGTTAAAGCAGTTCAAGGATTGGCCGTATTTTAAAACTTCAGAATCGTAAAAATCCGACTGCTAATAAAATTATTTTAATGTTGCCTTCCATTTTTACTTATTTCTTGAGAACAGTGTCAAGAAAGATATGCTGTCTTAATTATAATATATGTTCCCTTTGAAATGTTTTTTGAGAATACAAAGCATATCGTATGTCATATTACGAAATAGTTCATTGGAATACTGAAAGAGAAGCAGATTACGTGATGCGATTTTTAAAATAGTTTGAGTGAAGGGGCATACTAAGCAGGTGAAAGGGCCTTGGAACTCCATTTATCGTTATAGGTATTAAGGAGATCTGGTCTTTCTTTTTCCACTTAGTTTAGATTTCTGGCAAATGATCTCCACTAAATAATGACAGTACTCTCGTACTAGATTTCATGAGTAATTATTTGTAATTCCTCTAAATCAACTATCATATGAGAGATCTGGGACATGTCCTCCTATCTGACTTTTCATGAATGAAAATATGTTGGTCATATCAAGTAGTGGAATTCTGCTAGGACCTGAGGCAGTTAATCTGTTCAAGACTACAAATATTGTGAGGGACTTAGAAATTGTCCTTTTTGTGCATTTTCAAAATATGGACTTGTTATTGCTGTTGGGAGTCACTGTCAGCTGTGTTTTCTTGAGACTTAAGTAATCTTTTGCTTTAGAGTTTGGTTATTATTTGAGCGGAACTACTCTACACACTGTCCTGGAAGGTTGATTTGAGGGTAGTGGGAAGTGGTGAAAATCACTATAGCAAGTGGCTTGAAAGCTTATAGAAAACGCGATAAAAAAGCTGTGGATGTGGAAGTGATAGTAATTTTAAGCAATATAATCTTGTTGGAAAATGATTTATTCTAAGAAAAAAAAAAAAGTTCTAAGTCATGTAGAGTGTTTCTCACTCAAAATATTTCTTATGCAGTGGTGAAACGTTTTATTCTCGAGGTGATGTACAGGATATTGTGTTTGATAGTCTGCAGGAAATGCCAATTTAATTTTGTCAACGCTGGCGAGGAATATTAAGGAATTTTAATGAAGTAGATTTAGAAACATGGCGAAAATTAAACATGACAAAGCAGATTCAGGAGCTTGTTGGGAATCAGACGCAATTGCTGAATTTTTGTTAAAGTCAGGCTGATATTTCTTGAGATTTTAGCCCATTTCCAATAAATTTGTAAGGATCTGGAATTAAGGACATCGCTGAAAGATTTCATTGCTGAACTTTTTGCTAAATTTGTAAATTGCATCACTGCGCTTGTCTGATTCATTCGACTGTTATGAAAATATCCTAAATTGTAATAGAATGGGAATTAATGGTGGTAAGAGTGTTATGTCTTTTAAAACTACTTGACTGAAATGGTATACTCAAATGGAATTGATAGATAACATAGTTCACATCGATGATTTTTAACGCCACCAAAATCATCCTGAATCAAGGCCGTTGCATTCTAAGACGAGATTACACATGCTGCACGACTTTCCAGACACTGGGAAATTATAAAAATAGTTATCAGCTTTGAATAGTAACAAATGAATCAACATTATCGTGTATGGAGGATACCTGCAATTCAAAGACTATGATCAAACGATTGCGCTACAAAAAACACTATTGTTTGTATAATGACCCATCGACAAAATCATCCGGTAATACTACACTATTCCCAGTTATCCTAACAGTACGTTGATGAACAGCTCGTTACTTTTTAATATCACATCTTTTATTTCACTATCTCAAATGCACTTATTTAACCTCGTTACTAACGCAAAAAACTGCTGCAAAAAATAGTTTTCCATGAGATAACGTACTTATCTTCCCATTTCAGTAGGTACTGTGCTTATAATCTCACAAACCCCGTCTCTACAAGCCCTTTCCAGTTTCAATCTCCATTATGAAAATCTACGTAAACTTTTCGTAGCCTCTTAGGATTTGCAACAAAACAATCAGTGTCAACAGTTTATTCTTATAATTTGAATTCACAATAAGTAATGGGACTGTTGACAAAGAAGGCAGATCGAAAAAACAATCGAAATAAAATTACAAATTTTGAGAAATACACCCAACGATCACAGAGAGATATAATTGAAAAGCATATGTACAAAGCAGCAATGGTAGTATCAATGTTACAGATTTAAGGACAAACAGAGGATCCGGCTCTTTTTTCCCTTCATTTTTTTTAGCATCTACTTCCCAATCACAATTTCAATTTTAAACATAGCAGGTTCCGATAATAATTAATAATAATAATAACAACAATAATAATAGATAATAGTCACAGATATGTTCTCACCACTTGCTCCTTTACCGGAATCTTTATCATTAATAATATTAAGAAGAAATCACTTCAAACACAAATTTGATCCAAGCAATACACATGTGAATTAATGATTCTAAAAATATTCTGCCTGACTATAAAAGTTAAGAAGAAACAGATACAAGTAGACGGTTTGAAGCGCGCAAAAATCAGTAAAATAATGCCTTAAAATAAATAAATAAATTGGAAAAAATAATAATAAAATATCAGTTTATCATTATACCAGACTATGGAAATTTCCTAGTGAAATCAGCAAAAGCTTCCATTTTTGGATTTATTCAATAGAAATTATTGGTTTCTGGAAAAATACATCAGTCGATGCAATTCCAGATCACTGCTCGCTTTGAAATTTTGCAATAAAAATGAAAATTTCAATATGAATAGAATTACATAACTGTTCCTATTTAATTTGCTTTAAACATGTCGCAGACCAAAACTCCACATTTTAGCTTGCCAGTTCTTCGAGATTTTTTCTCATGAGTTATCACAAAAATTAAATTTTTAATTAAAAAATTTTTTTAAGTAATTTAAATCGAATCTTTCTTAATCAAAATTGATTTATCTCAAAGTCTTCTTTACGACTTCCAAAAAACTTCAACACCAGAAATTCTTCAGAAAATGTGCCACATAAAACTGCCTTTGAGAAAAAAAAAATATGAAAAAATAAATAAATTAAAAAGGATATAAAAATAAATTTGAGATATTAGAAAAGACTGCTTCATGTAAGTTCAAGCTGAGGAGAAAGAAATCGGAAAGGCCCATTATCAAATGAAATAAAATGTCGAGGACGAATTGTCGCTCAGAGAATAAGAGAAAGTATGCCGCCCTGTGTTTAATTTGTCATTGTAATGTCCTTAGTTCTTCTGTTTCATAACGACTTGTCATTCAATCATCCAGTTAATTTTATCACTTCAGCCATACTTCGCAGTAAAGTTTTCCTAGAATTTTGAGTGGTCCGTGATCCAGAATTATTTCCAATTCTCCACCAATTCCATACATAAAGCAATAAATTGAAGAAACAGACGCTTAACAAAAGTTACACAACCAACCAAAAACTGATAAATCAGAAGAAAAATGTGAATACTTATTGTATTTGTCGTGGCGCATTTCAGTTATATGCGACTGGTGCAGCGTTCAATCCAGGCACATTATTATTGTTAAAGGAGTGACGCTGATATCCCCGTAGAACTCGATCTTTTAACCTGAAATCACAAAGATGGTAAAATACTTACTGCAGTAGAGATGAACTAGTTCTTCAGTTCTTTGTATCACCATAAATACTAATCATTCAGAAGTAACAGGAATAGCTGAGAATCATCCTTTTAAAATAGAAAAAGAGATGAAATAAAAAAGAGATGTAAGATAACAATAAAATTTCAAAAAGTCAGGCTGATAAAAAAAAAAAAACTGGAAGTAAGCATAGACGAAATTTGCAGAACCAAAGTTTAGATACACAGATTAAAGATGTGTCAACAGCAAGAAGGCACCAACACATTAAAAATATTAATGTGGTAAATAAGTTAAAAGAAGTCGATGCTAAAAAATATTTCAAACAGTGTAATTCTGATGAGGCTCATGGAAATAAGCTTATGAAATAGTGGGTAGACCCATGTTTACCTGTCATCACCGTACTCGCAAACAATGCACTTTTTATTTCGATTAAGTGCCAATAAAACCTGATATGCATGAGATGACTTCATGATTGTGTTATATGTACAATTTCGCAGCAGTACCAAATGCACTTCGAGCCTCTAAAAATTAAATTACATAATCTTAAGATTTCACCAGAAATTCGAACCCCAAAATCTATTATATCTTATGCTACGAACTAAGAGAACGTGCTATTTTATGGTGATCTTTTGACAAAGATTCAAATATCAGCAGATCAATTATTCATAATTGCGGAATTCCTTACATACAGTTAAGGATTTGAGTTTTTTATCGTAATTTCTGAAACCAACAAGTGCTAATTTATGTTCTAGTTAGAAGAAATCATCAATTTGTAACGGTAAATG